TCAAACTTCCAAAGTCCCATTCTTCCAAAGACCCCAACCTCTCAAACTTCCAAAGTCCCATTCTTCCAAAGACCCCAACCTCTCAAACTTCCAAAGTCCCACTCTTCCAGTTACCCTAACCTCTAAAACTTCCAAAATCCTTACCCCAACCTCTCAAACTCCCACAGTCCCACTATTCCAAACACCCCAACCTCTCAAACTCCCAAAGTCCCACTCCTCCAAATACCCCAACTTCTCAAACTTCCAAAGTCCCACTCTTCCAGTTACCCTAACCTCTAAAACTTCCAAAATCCCTCTTCCAAATACCCCAACCTCTCAAACTTCCAAACTCCCACTCTTCCAAAAACCCCAACCTCTAAAACTCCCTAAGTCCCAAACCCACAAACATATCCCAACCTCCAAAACTTCCACACTCCCAAAATTTAACGAACCATCACCCAATCTCCCCTTCAAAAGCGAAGGCAAAGAACAAGAGCGCGCATTGAAAGACGTTAACATCACCGCACGTGTTAGCATCTTGTCACTGACAGACAACTGGAGTATCAAAAGCGGCATCCCCCCATCGGTAATTACCGGAGTCGGTCAACCTGTTCGATAGTTTACGTTATCTAACGTTTAGCGCCAGATGTCCATGCGAACCGGCCAATTTCCTTTGTGGTGTGCCAACACGCACACGAAAGAGACCGTCGGCCCTGTGTACGCGTTGTCCGCTCAAGGGTACGCGCGACAGGGTAGACATTAGGACACACCGTATATCGTGGGTCGCCGGTAATTGTGGCAATGACGACGGAAGTGTCAGATTAGAATCTGAGATGCTCCCGGGAACACGCGATGCTTGTCCTAACCCTCTGAAACTATTAGGCGAACGGCTCGGCTGCCCCCCATTAAACGTTCTGCCCACCAGTGGTGCTCCCATATCGCTGGCATTCAATGCACCTTGTAGGTTTGATCGATTTCTGACTATGGGACGTTGTCACTTGCTTGGACACTTATATTCACGTAGACTCAAATGTAGAAGGTATTCATATCGTTTGAGTGCTTGGACGTATTTAATCATTTACTGCTTAGACACTTACATTCACTGTTCATTTAAATGGAGGACCACATCATTTGAGTGCGTGGATGTATTTAATCACTTGCTTAGACACTTTAATCCACATCCACTCAAATATAGAACTTATCAAATCGTTTGAGTGCTTGGACGTATTTAATCATTCACTGCTTAGACACTTACATTCGCTGTTCGTTTAAGTGGAGGACCACATCATTTGAGTGCATGGATGTATTTAATCACTTGCTTGGACACTTAAATCCACATCCACTCAAATATAGAACTTATCACATTATTTGAGTGCTTGGACGTATTTAATCACTTGGTTAGACACTTTAATCCACATCCACTCAAATATAGAACTTATCACATTATTTGAATGCATGTATTTAATCATTCACTGCTTACACACTTGTATTCACTGTCCATTTAAGTGGAGGACCACATCATTTGAGTGCATGGACAGCTCCTTAATCTTTTCATCAATTTCTGTCTATGGATACTGATGGACTTACTGTCTGGACACTTGAATGGGTACTTCATCCACATCATTCTTGCCCACACTTTGATCAACTGTCAGGATCAACTCTAAATAAATCCAGGAACATGTGACATGTTTTGTGAGTTAGGTCTGTAGGTTACTAGATGTGGCTAGATGAAGATGTTCAGATTGAAAGGACATAGTACAATATGCTTGTACAACGAGGTGCAATATATAGTTAGATAAACCAGCTATCATTGTGAGTTCCTGTAAATGTATGAGCTGTTTGACTGAGTGTCTGGATCAACTCTTTGTGAGTTAGGACTATGGATTGTCAGATGTGGCCACATGAAGATGTTCCGATTGAAAGGTCATAGTATAACCTTGTACAACGCAATGCAATATATAGTTAGATAAACCAGCTATCATTTTGAGTTCCTGTAAATGTATGAGCTGTTTGACTGAGTGTCTGCATCAACTCTTTGTGAGTTAGGACAAGAATTGCCAGATGTGGCTACATGAAGATATTTAGATTGAAAGAACATCCTTTTACAACACAATGCGATTGATGAACCAACTCCAACTAACTAATAATCTAAATAAATATTTTAAAAAAATGCTAGCTACCAAAGGTGTCAAGAAGTATCTCTAATCAACCTAAGCATAAATCAGCATAAAACAAGGATAAAAGTACATAGGAATTTATACCCCCAGCATAGAAAAAGCAGTACCCCGTTTGTTCTTTGAACCATATCGTTCCCCATGTGTTGTGCAGCCTTAAGAAATCAGCGATCTCGAAAATCTGTACGCGGAATAACATTTCCATCGCGTTAGCATAAAATTATCCGGGTTGCTGGTCGTTCATTAGCAAGTCAAATGAACGGTGGCCAGATTGAGCACCACTGAGTGGTCCCAGTACGAAGGGGCCCGGAACAGCGAGAAGCAGATGAGACCCCCTCTTCTGTAAACCGGGGCTAAACTGTAATAAAGTGCGGTACGCATTACCCACCTACCTCTGAGACCTTCCCGTTATCTGATTCCACCAGCCGACGTGTTTCACCTGTGAACGACATATGGCCGACACCATGCCGCTCGTTGGCTGCCCCTTTCGACGACACTGTGACCACTTTCGCGTTAATTTGTCGATGAGATAGCGCTAACTCACGGCCGGAAGGAAAAATGAACGGGCTAATGATTGGCAACGGTCGACATGGGACCGTTGCACGGACGTGAAGGCTGGAGGTAACCTTCGGAAGGACTTTGGATGTTAGTTCTTCACTTTGCTTATTGGAGGTGGAAGTTGGGGGGTGGGGAATTTGGAGGACGGGGTTTGGGGATTCGAGGGATGATGGTAGGGAAATTTGAGAAGTTGAGATTTAGGGATTTGGAGATTCCAAATTTCCAAATTTCCAAATTCCCAAATTCCAAATTCCCCAAATTCCCAAATCCCCAAATTCACAAATTCCTAAGTTCCCAAATTCCCAAATCCCCAAATTACAAAATCCCCAAATTCCAAATTCCCCAAATTCCAAAATCCCCAAATT